TCTCCCTTACCCCCCAACATCAACAAGATCTTTAGAAAAAAACAAAAAAGTTATTATTTAGCATTTGCTCAATCATCTGACTTCTTGCTCTAGAGTCCATGGAGATTACTTAATATCAACATTTTCTGGCACTTTAAGAGTTATCAAAAATGTCACCAGTCACCAAATGTTTCATTAATTATTGCAAACATCTTTAGAAAGAAATGCCATAGTGGGTTTCTTTCAGCAAGTGATTTATTTCAGATATAATTTCAGTTTAATTAATAGGGGATTTTGTTCTGACCCGGAGGGTGTGAGAACCAACAGAGAGTCTGTGGTTTGGTTAGGCGAGAGCTGGAAACCCGTCTGTGCCTGTAGAAGGAAAATTTTACTAAATAAGTAAATAAATAAAAAGCTGGCTGCTTTTTTTTTTTTTCAGTTGTGAACATTTAGCTGATACCCTCATTAAGGGCACTGGAGGAACATCCTGAAAAACTGAATTACAAGGCAGTGGGGGAGAAGCTAAGGGGTACAAATGGGGGAGGGAAAGGGGATTTGGCTTATGTATGCCATGCCTGAAAATAAAATAGTTCCATTTCTTAGCTGTGTTGTGATCTGTATCTGTGCCATATGTGCTTACAAAAATCCTAGACCAGCAAAAGCAACAAATCAACTGTACGATTTATTAGGCCCTGCCTGGCACCATATAGCAAAAGTCAAAAGACAGAGTCCCTGCACTTGAGGAGCCAGGTCTTCCTTAAAGTGGCTTCATTTGAATTTCTGGCATTCTGAAAACATTTAATCACTTATCTAAGCAATAAAGCTTATTTTTTGATGGGTACATTTGGAGGGGAGATGGTTGTTGTTTTCCATTACCAATAAGCAAAATGCCTCGTCCACATTTCCCAAAACACCAGGTTACATTAGTTTCAGTTTTAATATCCTGCCAAAGAGAAAAAAAAAAAATTCCCCCAATACGAAGCAAATACATCTGTCTAATATTGCTGTTCAAAATGCCACTGCATTAAATAAAATTCCATGCTGTAAAATTTTGCAAGGTGATAAAACAAAAATGATATAATAAATATAAAACATCTGCGTTTTTTTTAACAAGACATTTGGAAACTGATTTCATTTATATTTAAACTTGTTTTGAAGTGTTCCTACTCTTGAAAAACATCCTAGTTACAGTATATTAGGGTTTTTTCCTCCTCTCAGGCAAAAGATTAAAGAACTGATGTCCAAGCAAAAGAAGACGAGGGAGAAGAAACCACCATTGTGTGTTCCAGAATAAACCTTGTATTTGAATCTTAGCTGGCTCTCAGTCATGAAAAGAGGGGTGCATGCCCTCCATCAGCAGCCCTGGAAAATGGATTCTCACATACGCACAAAAATGCATTAAAACAACATTAAGTTTCTGGCGACAGCTTAAGCACATATATCCCAGGAAAGGGAGAGTTTAACAGCAGCTCTGGCTCTCTCCATGTGCCTAGGTGGGATGGTTCCTAAAACACTGAGAGAATAGTAAGACCACCCACTGCTTTTGGCTGAGACAGGGCTTGGGGTGGAAGGTGGTGCCCAAGTACAGGAGCTCTGCCCCCACGCACAGGCTGAGAGACCCAGGATCTGCACATCTGGGCACCGGACCTGCGACAGCTCAAAAAGGCCTCAGTTTTCTTGTCAAAAACCAAAGGAACAAAGACAAATGACATTTGGGGGAGAGCAAGAGGGGACAAAACATGTGTATCTACAATTTTAGGCACCTTTATTCTCCATTGCTAGAGAGGAGAAAGCACGGACACCTGAGTCCACAGAGGGAACTTCCCCATGAGCCACCCTCCCACCTATTTTACCTGACACCCATCTTTTTACCAAAAACCCAGCTAATAGTGTTGTCAAATTAGGAATAAGCTCTGTGCTCATGTCATTGCTCACAGAAGAATGGATAAATTGGGCTTGGAAAAATCAAGAGAAGAGAATCTGGTCTGAAGATTACTCACGAGTGAGTTTTCGATATTAACGTTAGCTAATTTTTATTGAGTACCGTTTTGTGCCAGGCATTTCACAAACGCTGCTACATTTCATCCTCGCAAGCCCTGCTGCTGTCGGTAATCAGCATTGTCACCTTCCAAATGAGGAAGATGCACTTCAGCAGGGCAAAATACACTACCCAGGGTCACATACCTAGCAAGCAGCAGAACGGGAAACTGATCAAAAGTGTGGGTGACTCCAAAATCTCTGCATAGTCATTCCTCAGCATCTGGTACATGAGAACCGGCCGTAGCCCGAGTTTTACATAGAAAGTTTACTGATTTCAACCACTAAGGAGAGGACCTCTGAATGGATGAAAATTCTGCTTGATGGAGTATTTGAAAAGAAATTCAGTTTTTAATGTTTTTCTGGTAAGACTGTATTTGGAACTAGGTTAACCACATGTTGTCAAATAGAAGTTGAAGGTGGTGCCTTAATGCACAGTTTGTGGTGGTTTGTGTACAGCACAGGGCACTGATGCATAAATGCATAGGCGTTAAGGTCGTTTGCAAAGAATTTGCTCTCATAAACTCAACCCTTTCTGCAATCATATTCACTAATTCATTGGTAAATCTTTTCCTCATAACTAATTTAAAAATGATCTTCACTTCAACCCCTGCTCAATTCAGACAAAAATGCTTAATGCACACGTCCCTCAACGGCTGGCCACCAAAATTTTAGCTTTCCCTCCTTATTTAACACGTGCCAGGACCTTGTCCCCAGTTACCTAAATAAATCGAGGTTTTGGTATTTTGTTGTCTGGGGTTTTTTTATATGACTGTGAAGGACCCATGGTCATCTCCATAACATCTGTTCTACACTCCTCGTGAGCGTTGAGTGGACTGAGCAGACCTCCAGCTCCAGGAATCTGTTTCAGGCTGTCATGGTCATTTCATTTCTCTTGACAGTCAGCCATCCCAGGACTAACCCAGCTAGCCCAGGGCTCAGAGATTTATCCAATCAGAGCAAAGCTCGGGAATCTTGTCTCATGCTCCTGGGACGGGAGTTTTTCTCTTCCCCAGATGTGAATTAAGAACCAGGTAGCCCTAGTCTTGGCTACCAGCTCTCTTGAAGTCAAGAGGAGAACCAGCCAGAGAACGAACTGGGAACAAAAGTCCAAGCCACACACAAAAGAAAGAGGTGAGAAAACCTTAGCGAAAGAGAGTCAGAGCTCTGATTGAACCACACACTGAAGGTGGACTTCTCAAGTATATGCGACAATTAATTCCCTGCGTGGTTTGGGCCCATTTGAGCTGAGTTTTATTTTGCTTGCAAGTAAAGGAATTCTAGCACTCTGAATTTTCTAGAGCACTTTAGGAATGTAGTAGGCAACATCCAAGACTAACTCACATAGTGTCCACTCAATACAATAGAGCTGCATCTTCAGTCAAGAGTTGAGAAGTGAATGCCAAGATGTGAGAAAATCACATACAGCAAAATTTACTGCAAAAAAAAAAAAAATCCCAAAAGATGCTATACAGTAAACATAGCATGGTAATGCTTTTGCACATTAATATTTGAAACTCAAATATAGGAAGAAACACTTTAATGTGTTCTATTTGGCATATTTGTACCCACAGATTAATATACTGCACTCAGATTTAGTATTCCTACATTGAAACCTACTCCCTAAAGACACATTCAGAGTCCTTCCCAATCTGACCCTCTCTGCCCCATTCACCCCACCACACTGGAAGTCTTCATGCTTTTCCACGTGCTCTTTCCAACAAAGTTCCCTTTTTATTTTCCTTCACCTGGAATACTCCTATTAATACTTAAAGGCCCAACTCAAATATCACTATCTGCCTTAAGTCTTCTGTCTCTTCTTTGGAAATTTAATTGCACTCTCCTCTGGACTCTCATAGCACTTTTCCCCCACATCTCTATTAAAGTGCTTGCTTTGTGGTATGAGACTTCCCTGTTTACACATCTTATCTAACCCCCAGGCCATGAGCCATTCTAGAGTGGGGGCATGCCTTATGTACCACTGTATGTCTTGTTTCAGCATATGGGACTGAATCAGAGTAGCCACTCATTGTGTTTGTTGAGTAATGCCCTTAATTCAGTCAAAGATATATCCTAAGTTTATCTACTTCTCTCCATCTTCACTGCTCTTGGTCTGATCCAGGCACCACCATCCTCTCTCACCTGGGTGACTGCAAGGCCCCTAAATGATCTGACTGATTCCATTCTTACCCTTTTTCAATCTCTTTGGGGCCAGATGTACCTATGTAAGAATTAGAAAAAGGCTTATCTGAGTGGCTAAGTTAAATAAAGCTGTTCCCTCTAGGTTGGCACAACTTATTAAGAAACGATTAAATAAGAGGACTTCTCTTTTCGCTGGAGTTACTAAATGGGTAGAATGGAAGCCTGGGTTGCTGCTGGTCATTTCACTACTGCATCTGGGAGCACATTGCTGAGATTGAAGTCAACCAGGAGGAAGAAAGATGGAAAAGGACAGATTCTGACTGTGTTGTGAAGCACTTAGGTACAGCCATACCAGAAAGAGTTACCCCTGGACTTTGTAATAACCTGAGCCAATTAAGTCACCTTTATGCTTAAAGGTGACTAACTTGAGTTGTGTTACAAATATTCACCACCTAAGCAATTCAGGTTATACACATTGCTAAATGCTGAGAGTATAACATTAAAACATGACTCAGGGAAAGTGTTTTTACAAAGACCTAAACTATGGAGGACCAGAGACCAGATTTACAGCTATAGTAAGTCCTCACTTAACTTGCCGATGGGTTCTTGGAAACTTGGACTTTAAGGAAAACAAGGTATGAATATGACAAAACCAATCTTATCATACGGAAATTGATATAAACAACAATTAAGTTCCTATGACGTATTTCTGGTCAAAACACATCACCAAACCTCTAAACAAAGACAAAAATACTTCTAATATTAAACATGATATAAATGTGAGCTATACGTGCATTTAAGAAAGATGAATAAAAACAAGCAAAATAATTACTTGCCTGCTTATGCTCTTCGGTGTCGGGTGGCCGCCTCCTATCCCAGCAGCTCAGGGTGCCAGGCGGAAGCCAAGCCTGGGCAGGACGCAGTTCCATCACGGGTGGCACTCACACCCACACTCACTCTGGCCGGGACAGTGTGGACCCTCCAGTTCCCCTGACATGCACAGCTTCCAAATGTGGGAGGAAACCGGAGCACCTGGAGAAAAACCCACGCAGACGTGGGGAGAATGTGCAGACTCCACACAGACAGTGGCCCTGGCTGGGAGTCAATGGGTTTTTCTCTCTTCAACATTATAAGGAAACGATGTTGAAAGAAACAATAGTATTTGAGGATCTGCTGTGCAAAGGCTAGGCCTAGAATCTCCAAGGTCTGCAACTCAAACCCATTCGCAGAAACTGCTTAAATCAGGACTCTACAGCACAGCTCTGTGCTTTGGATTCAATGTGAATGAGCCCCAAACCTCATTACACGAATTTGCCTTTTATTTTCAAGCTTCTTCTGCCACGCACATCAGCACTGAGAGGAGGTCCTCATGAGAGGTCATCCCAGACATCCCTTCTGTCTCCATGTAATCACCCAAAGCAAAGCTGCCTAACACTTTCTTCCAAGAGAAAACTGCCTGACCTTCTGAAAAGCATTTGTATGTTCAGATGGTTTTATATCTTTAAAAAAAAAATGCTCAAAGAAAGTGATGCAAGCCTATGAAATATTGAAGAGAAAACCTTGAGGGCAAGTCAAAAAGCATCCAACATCGTTAGATATCTTGCCCTATCCTAACCAAGGGTATATATGCAGCTACAAAGTGAGAAACTGGCCAATGTGTATGTTTTATTTATTTATTTACTGCGACAAGCACATCCATCAGCCCTTTTCCCACTCGCCCACCGCCCTCCACACACAGAGCGGATGATTGGATTTAAGAGGTCTTGTGGCATGGTAGATGGGCATTGGGTCCTTTTCCTGGTTCTGCCACTTATTTGCCAAGTGATCTATTCCAATTTCCTTCTCTTAGACTCAGTTTCCTCCTCTGAACAAATAGGGTCCATTAAAATGCACAGGCTTTTGAGAGGGGTAAAGGAAGTGCCCAATTCAGGGCAGTAAGTGCAGCATGGGGAACAGAGCAGAAGATGCTCCAGACACAGTTCTTTGCTTGCTTTTTATTTAATTAATTGTCCTTGCAAAATCAATCCCTTATTTTGGTATCAAATAGGGCAGTTCACCATGTCTTGTCCAAAGTGTTCCCTGGCTGGGTAAATGGAATGAACATCCACACAGTTTCTCAGGCTAAAAGCAAAGCGCTACCCTTTCCTGTTTCCCTCACACCCCATAACCAATCTACCAGCAAGCCCTGTTGGTTATACTCCAATTAATATCTCAAACCGGACCGTCTCTTTCCTCCTCCTCCTGCCCTGCCTGTGTGGTCGTCTCTTGGCAAGGCTCTAGCAATAGCCTCCTAGCTGGTCTCCCCACCCCCCTCAGCTCTCCCTGCAGCCGCCACACAGTGACCAGAGTGACATTATCTGGAGTGCAAATCACATCCTATCACTCTCCTGCTAAAATCCTCCTCTATCTTCCAATAATATTAATAACAATAATATCTTTAATCTATTGAGTACTATATATATATATATGCCACAGGTCTAAGCGCATTGTACATATCAAATGTTTTAATCTAAAACCTAATCTAATACCTACCTTCAAGGTAGGTATTGTTCTATCCCCCCTTTTTTACATATACAGGTCTCACAGCTGGTGGTGCAGAAGCCAGGATGAAGAACAAACTCTTTCCCTACCTGAAAGGCTCCGCAAGACCTAGTCCTACCCTGTCTGTGTTCTCACGTCACCTCCTAACACTCTCCTCCCCCTTGTTTCCTAAGCTCTAGCCTCTCTGGCCTTTTTCTGTCCTCAAATCTATCCCAGCTCATTTCTTTCTCGGGTTCAAAGACTCTTTGTCAAGTTTCACTCTAAGCTCACTACCTTGGAGAAACCACTCCTGAGCACACTGATAGGAGGAACGAATGCATGTGCTTTCACTCCACCATGACAACCACCACCGTCTCATGAGTCCTGTATCCCTTGAGTACCTCTTATTCTTTTTGCATGAAAACCCTGGGGACTTAAAAACACAGGGAGGACAATGACTCAGAGTGCTATCATTTATAGCAGGTAGTTCACACATCCCCTTACTTCTGTGTTTAACTCTGAGCAGACAAATGCCTAGGAAAAGGTGAGATGTCTACGGAGTATGTTTGAAAATTGCTTCTTAGGACGCTGGACGTGTTTTTGCCCTGTTAGTGAATGAACTACTCTCTTAAAAATTCTGAAGGCTGAAAACTGACAGTACTGAAAACATTCTTTCACAAAAAGGGCTTATTTTAACTTTTTAAAAAATATTTGTGTTTCTTCAAATATTCCTACAGCTCTTTCTTTTTTTAAAAAGGCAATTCAATTTGGGGGGAACATTATGACAATATGCTACTTCATGCCAAGGAAAGCTTTTTATTGGCCTCGCTCGTATTTCTAGCTTTCTTTTTCCAGCTGTTATATCAGATATAATCATCTAAAACTGCGATTTGTCATCTCCATCAAATTTGGTTTATAATTTTCAGTGTTGCAGTTTATGTGAAAACATTTATGGATTAAAACTCTGAGCAAAATGAAGATTTCACAAATTAGGGAAACAAAGTCAATATTCCTCAAAAGGTTGGATTGCAGGCAGACCCAAGGAGACCCTGGCGTTCACCCCAGACGCTGGCACGCAACTCTGGCTGGTCTACAGAAATGTGGGGGGACAGGGAGACAGACCATCCTGCTGCCAAGCCAGCCAGAGGATTTGGTCCCCTCTGTTACGTAACTGGACGATCCAAGGGAGGGCAGTGGATAAAAATGAGTTCTTAGATCATTCAACCTGTCAAATAAAACAGAGGGATCACATGTAGGCGCTTGATTGAATGGTGATCACACTGTCCAACCTACAACCCCTGCCCATGGTGGGTCCGTATTGATCAAAATAGTTACCATGTACTGAGGGATGACCATATGCCAGGCAGGGCGCCAGACAATTTGCACACCTTATTTTATTTAACAAATATTTGTTGGAGCTTCTTTAAATTAGGATGAAGTGGAGCTTCTTTATATTAGGATGAAGCATTTGAAATTGACATGGTTGTAGATAAAACCTGTCCAATAGCAGCAATTCCATGCAGTCCAATCTAATACAGTTCTGTGTCTCACACCCAACCCTGCATGATGCTTACCATAAACACACACAGTAGTGGTCCGTAAACTTTTATTTCATGTATCAATAGCTTTTTGTAGAAACAACCTCTGAGTAGGGGAGAAAAGACAGCAATATTTCAAGCAAAACCGATCTGGTCAACTCTGTCGTGCTCACCTCAGCCACACAGGTTTATTCTGAAATGTCTCACGCTGCCCACCTGCCTCCACCTCCCCGAAGCTTAGTTAGTAAAACAGCAAAACCTGCCTGAGTGCCTCGGGCCTGCACAATGGCAGGGAGCTAGGGGACATTGTCAGCACTCTCTAATTACTGCTATTCCTTCCTATTTCCAGGCAATCTGCTTTTTCCTCTCCCAAAAGCCACCATAAAAGGCATTTTATGCTTAAATAGCTGTAGAGTAGCATCCCAAGTGAACTAAATTTGGTCCTGAGGTTAACCTTAAAAATCGAATTCTAGAATCAGTGGGTATCTCAATTAGTAAAACTTACATAATCTTTTAGAGGGTCAAATGAGATCACTAGAAATGAGCGACTTAAGAAAAAGATTCCATTCCTAAAAAAGTTAAGGGGGCAGGGGGAATGCTCAAGAGCCCCAACTGAAACCCAAGAAATTCAGACTAAATGCAAATAAAAAGCAGATGAAGCCATTCAGACAAGGGGATGGAGAGTTGTTGCATTTTAAACCATAGTCTTATGGAGTAAGGGGATTCCTTAGCCCAGCCCTTTCTTAGCAAGGTCTTTAAATCCTCACACCCCAACCAGGAAACAAAGCTAAAGAAAACCAAAATATGCCCAAATCCAGAGGTTCCATTGCACCCAGAAGCTAAACTTAAACCTAAGACCAATGGCCGAACAACAGAGCACGTTCCCAGGCCTCCCACCACCCACTTTAATAGCTCAGAATCACAGGAGACAATGGTGATAGTCTCGATCTACTGTGTTTTGAATGAGGAATAATTTGCCACTTGGGGTGGCGGGAGTGGAGAATGTCCCCAAGTCAATCTTTCTAGCCTGCTGGTTATGGAACTAATAGGCAGGGAGACATCTGCTTGCCAGCTGTGAACATGAACCAGCTGATTTATCTATCTATATACATCAGAAGCCCAACTGCCCCAACTACTGGAGCAGGGAGGAGGTGAGAAGAGAGAAGGAGAGAGGAGGGGAGAAGAGGGGAGAGGACAAGAGAGCAGCGCGTTACCGAATGTGGAGCCAGGAAGGTTTGTGCAAGGGCTCAGTGCTGCCCACAGATAGTTCTACCTCTTTCTTGCCCTTCCACACTTCATACCCCCATCCTCATAGGTTAACCAATAAAATTGATAAATTACGTACAGGTTTTTAGCCACTGGAAAACCAAATGGGAGATGTGCATTTAGGCAAAATGATAGCATGAACAAATGGTATTATGTTAATTTTGTGAAAGAAAGGGGGAAAAATGCAGCAGCATAGCATAAATCTATGTGGAAATGTGACATAGGTTGAAAGCTGCTTCGTGTGCACTGAGTCTAAGTGGTGGGTCCTCAGAGCTTCCCGTTCTTCAGTACATAGGGTGGCACCCCCAGCACAGACAGGGTTGAGAATGGCACAGGTTAAGAGTACATTCTCCACCAAGTCAGATATACTGGCCGAGTGAGGTGGCTCACACCAGTAATCCTAGCACTCTGGGAGGCTGAGGCGGGCAGATCGCTCAAGGTCAAGAGTTCAAAACCAGCCTGAGCAAGAGCGAGATCCCATCGCTACTAGAAAATAGAAAGAAATTAGTTGGCCAACTAAAAACATATAGAAAAAATTAGCTGGGCACGGTGGTGTATGCCCGTAGTCCCAGCTACTCAGGAGGCTGAGGCAGGAGGATTGCTTGAGTCCAGGAGTTGGAGGTTGCTGTGAGCTAGGCTGACGCCACAGCATTCTAGCCTGGGCAACAGAGTGAGACTCTGTCTCAAAAAAACAAAACAAAACAAAAC